GATAGCCGCCCCTCCCGAATGATGAATGAATGTTGCTTATTATTTTTTTTACTATATGTGTCTACGTCATTGTTTGTATTCCCCATCCTGATTTTTATGTGAGCCGCCCTGAGTCCCCTCAGGGAAAAGGGCGGCCTATAAATGTTAATAAACATCTAAACATCTAAACATCTATGTTGGTTGAATCGGCATCAGGATGATCAGCTGTTTCAGACTGCAGGGATTGCCATAGCCTATTGCCATCTATGCGTGCACCATTTTCAGCCTCTTCACGCCCCTTTTTCGGCTTCTGCGCACCTCATTTTCCACCCATTCCAGATCGCAGGGATCGGAATGGGAGGAAAATGGAGTGCATGGAGGCCGAAAACAGGGTGCACGGAGGCGGCACTAGGCAATGGGAATTCCCACAGCTTGAAATAGCTGATGGTCGGGAGGGAGATCCAACCGACACTCAGTTGCTTGTGCTAATCAAGCTGTGCTGAAGCTGAAACTTAAACAGACTGTTTGCTGTTTGCTGCAAGGAGGCAAATTGCTGGGAGGCAGCGGCCAAAGGGTGAGGGCTGGCGGGGGGAAACGACTACATTTGACGTATAAGATGCACCCAATTTTTCATCCTCTTTTAGGGGGGGGGTAGTGCATCTTATACTCTGAAAAATATGGTAGTCCTCAACTTACAACCATTAATTTAGTGACCACTTGAAGAGAAGTTGAAGCACTGAAAAAGGGACTTAGGACCATTTTTCATACTGATGACCATTGCAGAATCCCCATGGTCGCATGATCAAAAATAAGAGACTTGATAACTGTCTTACATTTATGATAACTGGAGTGTCCAAGAATCATATGATCCCCTTGTGAGATCTTCAAGCAAAGTCAAGTGGGAAGACAGATTCACTTTACAACTGTATTATTAACTTAGCAACTGCAGCTGACTGGCAAGAAAGGTGGTAATATGGGGCAAAACTCACCTAACAACTGTCTCGCTTAATAATGAAAATGTAGGGTTCAATTGTCGAAGACTAGCTATGTTCATACTACAATCCTATTCATGCGGCCTGGGGTAATAAGGCTTATTTCGGAATAGATAAACATAACATTACAACATCAAGCTATTTTCCACCGCAGTGTAAATATTATGCTGTGAAAGAGGTCTATGAGAACACCTGTGCTCAAATACTGCCAACTCTTTAGTTTTGCTCCTGAAATAACAGGATACATTTTTTTCACCTGCTTCTCACTGGACCATTTAACACAAGGTGAGGGAGTTAGGAAGCTCCAACCAAATTCCATTATTAATACAATAGCAGAGTTGGAAGGGACCTTGGAAGTCTTCTAGTGCAACCCCCTGCCTAGGCAGGAAATCTTATACTGATCCAGAAAATGGCTATCCAACATCTGAAGGCAAGCTGTTCTACTGATGAATTGTTCTAACTGTCAGGAAATTTCTCCTCAGTTCTAAATTGCTTCTCTCCTTGATTAGTTTCCACCCATTGCTTCTTGTTCTACCCTCAGGTGCCTTGGAGAGTACTTTGACTTCCTCTTTGTGGCAACCCCTGAGATATTGGAAGACTGCTATCATGTCTCCCCTAGTCCTTCTTTCTATTAAACGAGACATACCCAGTTCCTGCAATCGTTCTTCATATGTTTTAGCCTCCAGTCCCCTAATCATCTGTTGCTCTCCTCTGCACTCTTTCTAGAGTCTCCGCATCTTTTCTGTATCGTGACGACCAAAACTGAATGCAGTATTCCAGTTGTGGCCTTACCAAGGCATTATAAAGTGGTATTAACACTTCAAGTGATCTTGACTCTATCCCTCTGTTTATGCAGCCTAGAACTGTGTTGGCTTTTTTTGGCAGCTGCCAAAAATTATTTTATTAAAAATTATTTTATCAAAAAATATTATGTTAAGTTCTCTATTAGGAACTTATACATAGGTTTCAATCCATGCCATCATTTCCACCCACAGAATCCTCAAGGCAGCTAACTGTCAGAGGTCCAGTAAAAGCACTTGCTAAAATCTTTACTAATTTAATGCTAAAGACCTGGCTGAAAAAGAAAGTCACAATTCCTTCTCTGAGGATGGGAAGAGTGTAAATAAAGTATAAAGGATCAACACAGGAGATAACAGGTGTTAATTCCAGGTTTTTTCTGGCTGTGCTTGAAACCAGTGAAAATAGTATGACTTGAACAATGAAAAAAAATCTATGAAGCAATGAATAGTGCAACACGTTCCCAAGATCAATAATTTAGTCCATTCCTTCAATCTTGGCAAAAGTTTGCTCAAGCAAACTAAGTTTGACTCCTGATGAGTTCCATGAAGTGAATTTAATTTTTCTAGTAGCATAATGGATTCTTTACTGTTTGTTAGAAATTCTGTTTATATAACCTTATAGAACAAACCAAATGCACAGTCACCGTGTGGTTTACTTCTTAATTGTTAGAAGGAAACAAGAAGCTTTCTATATAGAGAAAAGATATAGAGTATACCATAGATAAAACCAGGAAACTTACAAATATTGCCATCTACTGACTCCACTGCTGTAATTGTTGAATAGAATACAAGAAAACTATTCCAACATTCTGGGAAATTGTTCTCAAGATGGTCCCTTTGGCAGGCACTTCACAGCCCATTACTGGGTTGTGGCCTATTTGCAACCAGTCCGCGTCAATGGTGGACAGACATACACACATGCAGGTCAACTGGCATGAATAGTAAGTTGGCGCACAAACACATATGCATGCAGCTCCACCTGCAGTCGAGCTGCACACACACACGCATGCTGGTCCACTGCTCACATGAGTCTAGCTGCTCACACAGCCCACTGCTTGCACACCCCAGTTCCTCCCCCACCAAGTGAGCTGCCAAGCAACAAAGGTTGGTGATCGCTAACCTATGGTGCTTTACCCAAGGATAAACTAGGATGCAAACCTGTTTAACTTCCAAGATGAGCAAGAAAGCAATACATAGAAGAAAATCTATCATGAGGTCATCTCAGTGGAGAAAGTTTTTGCTTTTTTTTTAAAAAAAAAAAAAACTACAGGTAATCTTCAGCTTACAACCATTCATTTAATGACTGTTTAAACTTCCAGTGGTACTAAAAAAGTGACTTTTGACTGTTTTCCACACTTTCAATCGTTACAGCATCCCTATAGTCATATGATCAAAATTTGCATATTTGGCAATTGGCATGTACTTATGACCTGTCCTGGGGTCGTGATCCCCTTTTGTGACCTTCTGACAAGCAAAGTCAATGGGGAAGCTAGATTCACTTTACAACTGTGTTATCAACTGAACAGCTGCGGGGATTCACTTAACAACGGTGACAAGAAAGGTTGTAAAATGGAGCACAATGCAATTAACAACTTAACAACTATCTCGCTTACAACAGATTGTCTCAGTTGTAGTCACAAGTTGAAGACTACCTGTATTGTAAAAGGTTATCAGCTCTGATAAAAGTGCAAGTTTGAGGAAACAAATAAACAGAAAGTCTAATAAACAAATATATAAAAATTCACATTATGCATTATTCTAGAAGTAAATCATATCACTGCCTTTTTAAATAAAGTTTTTTTTATTTTTTGTTCTCTATATATACATTCACATTATTATTCTTTTTTTACATTCATAATTCTCATACATTTGTCATTCCATTTATAGAATTGTAATATTCCATTCGGGTTGTTTTGTTTACCATCCCTCGCCTATTTTGACACCACCTTCTTCTCCTTTCCTTTTCTCCCTCCCTTCTCTACTTCCTTCCTTCCTCTTTTCCTTTACCTCTTCCCTCCTCCTCTCTTCCTCTTCCTACCCTCTCTCCTTCTCTGCTTCCATCTTCCTCTCCTCCTCACTATCTTCCTTCCTTCCTCTTCTTCTCATCTCCTCTCCTCTCTCCCTTCTCTCCTTTCTTCTTTCCTCTCCTTTCCCTTCCTTCTTCCCTTACCTCTCCAATCATATCACTGTTTACAGAAGAAATTACCATGTTTCTCCAAAAATAAGGCAGCGTTTTATTTTCTTTTGACCTCCGAAATAAGCACTTGGCCTTATTTTGGGGGAGGTCTTATTATTTTTGAGATTCAAGAGGTGGTGAGCGTGGTCACCTAATGGCTGCTGCTGTGTTGCAATATTTTTAGGGATGGGTCATTATTGGGGGAGGTCTTATTTTTGGGGAAACAGGGTAGATGACAGGACTTTAGAGGGGAAAGTTCTCCTCCTGATTTTGTTAACCGAGAAAGGCTCTAATTTAAATTGCCCTGACAAAAATATTTGGAAACTTACCACCAGGTTTCCTAAAACCAGGACCAGCATGAACAGAATTATGCACCGTCCTTCCCCGGCAACTTGCATGCATTCCCACATGGTGGAAATCCATTCTCCGCACAGAATTCGGAATATAATAAGGAAAGAATGTAAAAAATCTTTCATGTGCCAACGCAACTGGCACGTCTCAGAATTATTATGGAAAGGACAATTCGGCACACTGTTGTTGTTGCAGATGCTAGCGTTAGCAGCAACAGCGCTGTAGTAATTCCCAAAGGCTTGCTTGCCAACCACGGCAAAAATGAATACAGTGAATATCAGAACCAGGGTGAGGTTACCCAGTGGGCCTACTGATTTCAACATTATTTTCATAAGCTTATTTAAAGCTGGCCAAAATTTTGAAAGTTTGAAGATTCTCAGCTGTTGGGGATAAGACAGGGTTGGGGAGGAAAGGAAAAAACAGAGAAAACCAGCAGTTAGATTTGAGTTTTATACTATGCACATAGTTCATCCTTTCTGATTGGGAGGTGTAATTCCCCTCCTAGTTCTGGCACTGATTTGTAGCAATGGTGAGGTCCTCATAGGGCCTTAAGTTCTGCATTCCACCCCGTGACCAATGGTGCTGCAGAGAGAACAAATGTGATGGTGGAGCACTACTTACGGTGCTACATTCAGTACCAGCAGACTGATCGGGCTGACTTACTCCCCTTCATTGAAGCTGCATATAATAATGCAGTGCACAACAGTCTGGTCTGGTAAAATAAATGTATCAGACTATTCATACCAAAAGGAAGTTCAAAATGCCCTTTTGTATAAACACTCACTTGTACAAGAGGATGATATTTACATCTGAAATTATATATAGTACATGTTGTCATTAATGATTCAGAGAGAATTACAAATACTTCCTGATGCCAGCAAATGCTCTCTGAATCAACCGGTAAATATGCTGCTTCATATGGTGTTTCTCTGGTGACTAGCTATTCTATCAGGCTCAAGAGAAGAGGATCCTATCAACAAGAGAGAATTGTCATTATTATATATTATTTTATCTCACCTTGTACTGTACCAAGACAAAACACAGAATATGCATCCGGCAAAAACTGGCCAAATTATTGCCAAAAATAAGACACTTCATTACTCAAATTTAGCATTCTAATTTGTTTCCTTTAAAAAGTAGCAGTTCGTTCACAGGATGGACATAAAAGATTTATACTTGACTGAATCAAAAGGGTTCTTTATTACCGTTCTGAAAATTGGCGACCGAATTTTCAGGAACAGGTTTATTATGCTTATAATAACCACAGTGAAGTCAAACACATTCCAGGAGCACTGAAAATAGTAATATGGATCCAGGGCAATCATCTTGAGGACCATTTCTGCTGTAAAAATGGCAGTGAATACCTGCAAAAAATACATCAGAACTATGAAAGACTGATGGCTCCAGATTTGTTATTGCAGAAGGCAAAGTCTCTTTATTATTAGATTTTTATCCCCCTTTATTAGTTCATAAGTAATTCAAGATGGTGAACATCCTCTGATTTTCCCAATAATAACAAACTTGTGAGGTGAGTTTTGCTGAGAGACATTGACTGGATCTGGCTTTCATGCGTCATGTGGGACTAGAACTTCTTGTTTCTTGGTGATTGACCCAAAGTCACCCAGATGGCTTTCATACCTAAGTCAGAACTAGAACTCACCGATTCCTGCTGATTGGTTCAAAGTCACCCAGATGGCTTTCATACCTAAGTCAGAACTAGAACTCACCGATTCCTGCTGATTGGTTCAAAGTCACCCAGATGGCTTTCATGCCTATGGAAGGATTATAACTGTACTATTTCCTTTTTTCATCTCACTGCCATTCCAGGGGCACGTAATGGGTAGGCATTAAAGGCATTAAAAAATCAAGATGGCAATTATTAAAACCATCTTGAGTTTTTTTGACTGCTCCTGAAGATGCCTGGCCACTTCATTATGCAACTGACTGAGTTCAGAGATCTGAGTAGAAGAAAATGAATAATTTAATGCATAATTAATATGTATAACATTTAGAGTACCAAGCTTTGAAAAAAGAACGTTTTCCCAGAAAACATAATTATTGCCTGGCATGCACCTTAATAAGAAATTGAATTCACTTACATTATTTCCTTCAGTAACCTGTTCTGATGATAATGAAAGATTTTCCAATGCCATCAGCATGGTATTTGCTATAATGCACAGTGTAATAAATAGTTCCATTAAAGGATTTATCATTATTTTCTTCAATATATTCTTTATCTGCAACCACAGCGAACAGCACTGCCAAATCAGATGCTTTTTGAGAGTTTCTTTCAGGCTGGGAGGAAATTCAAATTTGGATTCTTCCCATTCTGAAGACCAAGAGGAACATAATTATGAGTTATTAGATTAGAAAATGCAGAATAACTATTTCTGTTTAACTTTCCAGGTAATCACTGACACTAATACACATGCTTAACCTGAAAGTGCATCTAAACTAACAAAGAGAGCCGAGATGGCGCAGTGGTTATGGTGCAGTACTGCAGGTCACTTCAGCTGACTGTTATCTGCAGTTCAACAGTTCTAATCTCACTGGCTCAAGGTTGATTCAGCCTTCCATCCGAGGTGGGTGAAATGAGGACCCAAACTGTGGGGGCGATATGCTGACTCTGTAACTGCTTAGAGAGGGCTGAAAGCCCTATGAAGCGGTATATAAGTCTAACTGCTATTGGTATAAATGTATATGATGCATCTTTTCATAAAGTTGTTAGCAGAAAAGGTGCTGCTCTGTAACACCTTCTGATTCTTGACTGCACAGGTTGTCTTCAATTTATTATCACTAAGTGGCTCTTCAATGTTACAACAAAACAACATTTATGATCTGGTTTTGAAGTTCCAACATCTGCTCTGGGGTCATGTGACATTTTGGGCACTCAGCCGCATATATAGGATTTTGCAGTCCTCCACAGTCATGTGTCCACAATTATGTCCATGTTTACTTTCAGTTTCTGGTCACTACCCCATTGTAAACATATAATGGTAATCGTGTTCACAACTGTTTCCTTAATAACCACCACAAAGAAATCATAACGTCAGATCTGGTCACACGGACCATAAATGTGGGTTCAATTAAGTACCACCTGTAGACTATAAACTTGATCACAGTTTATCAACTGTGACCCTTTTAAGAGGTATGGACCAACTATCAGAATTCCTCAGCCAGCTGGCCCGCCAACTCTGAGAGTACAAGTCCACATCTTTTAAAAGGGCCAAGCCTGAGATGGAATCAGAATCACACATAAAGTGTCAATATTCCGACTGACGAACCCAACCAAAGCAAGCATGGTCGAGACATTCTAATCTGTGAATCTGAATCACTCCACTCTCTAGCATTACTGCAAGAGCTATGTGGGCACCAGCATCACTGTGAGCGTCCTGCAGGGGCTAATGGCCCCATTTGTATCACTCTCACAGCCCTATTCATGTGTGCACATGTGTGTGTAAAAGGCACCTGCCCCTCCCTCCCTCCAGGCCACTAACCCAGAAAGATAGGAGAACTCTGTTGTAGAAGTATATGATATAGTGTGCTGACTCTAGGATTAGGACCTGGAATAGTGCACTGGATCTAAGTCATGGGAGATTAAGATCAGACCAAAAGGGTGCTTTGTCACACATATTTCAATTTAGCATTCTAATGACCACCAATCTGCACATTTTCAATCTGCTTGTAAAGCTTCATGGATGTGATCCTTGTAATAACTATTGCTTCAGTTAGAGCAATGGTTCTCAAGCTGTGGATCAGAACCACTTTGGGGTTCGAACGACCCTTTCACAGGGGTCTCCTAAGACCATCAGAAAACACATATTTTTGATGAACTTAGGAACCAAGACACCAATTTTATGGTTGGGGGTCACCACAACATGAGGAATTGTATTAAAGGATCGTGGCACTGGGAAGGTTGAGAACCACTGAGTTAGAGACAATATAATTGTGTTCCTCCTTGAATTCTGGGCTTTTTAGCTGAATTAGAGGGGAGGACCAGGGGATATTAACCACAGTATGGTTAAAAAAAAAATCAAGGTTGCAATACACATGAAAACAGGTGGGGTTACAACAGTATCATTATAGTTGCCATCTTGGCTTTTTTTATCCCATTCTGGGGAAGACCCTTCTAACTTTTGTAAATAATACAACACAAATTTAAATGAGTTTTGGATCATGAAAACTTAATTGGCTGTAATATAATAATGGTACTGAAGCTGTTTTGCTGTAAAAAAAATAGGAGTCAAATTTTCCAAATTATTGACATTTATTTGAAAACCTGTCAATAGTGAAAGCTAAAAGCTCAGAAACAAAAATATAGTATGAAAAGAAGATAATCTTTGTAGCTCAGAGTTAAAGTATTGGGGTCTTTGATGTTTTTGAGCTTGGCTGTTATTGTTTTTCCAGATGTTTCATTACCAAACAAATAACCAAACATTGCCATTCATGTCATTACTTTTTTGGTAATGAAATATCTGCAAAAAACAACAACAACCAAGCTCGGACAAACCAAAGACCCCATAAAAATGTGGTGGAATTGTCTTACAGGTTTTTTTAAATGGGGTGGAATTATTTTTACAGTAATACTGGGAAAGATTGAGGGCAAAAGGAGAAGGGGACGGCAGAGAATGAGGAGGCTGGATGCAGTCACCGAAGCAGTAGGTGTGAGGTTAAATGGACTCCCGGGGATGATAGAGGACAGGAAGGCCTGGAGTAGTGGTGGGTTGCAGGCGGTACGCACCGGTACAAGTGTACCAGAGCCTGGCAGGAGCAGCAGATACCGTTCCGGTACAGTGCTCCAGAGGGCCCACCTGTCTTTAAACTCTTTGGCGCTTCTGCGCACGGCACGTACAGCGTCTGTGCGACGCTCTGCCAAGCAGCTAGAGGCGTTGCTGGATGGTAAGATGCATGTGCGTGCTACACGCGTTCATGTGGAGAACGCCGGGGCCCGTTGCAACCGTACTGACCCACCACTGGCCTGGAGGAACATTGTCCGTGGGGTCCTGATGGGTCGGACATGACTTTGCAACTAACAACAATTTTATTTGAACAAATATTTTAAAAGGACTGAAGAGGATTTCTACAGATGGCTTTTGCTGTGGAGCTAATACTTTTCACCTTTTCATTTTCAACAGAGAATGAAAGGGAAGGGAAAGGGAAAAAAGGGCTGAACTATTTTCACATTTTACCAAGCAATTAAAATAATTAATAATACTACCCAATATATTTTTGAAAATTGATTTGTTTTGTTTTCACTCACCCATTGTTTTGCTAATCACATTGGCAGCACTTGTTAATTTCTGCCTTTGAAATGGATCACCAAGCATTTCAAGCGGTAGTTGATAGGACATCACCATCTCCTTCTGTGGAAGAAAAAAACACCCCACTCTTTACTGAATAAAGTGAATGTTTGAACTATTAATGTACCCTTTATTGAAACACCTCTTATTGGGTGAGTGCAGGAAAATAATTTCCTGGAAAAGATCTTAGGTTAAGATCCTCTTGAATAGGATACAGTTTAAAGTCTTATTCAAAATATTTGATAAACATTTGCTTAAAGGTAAAGTTAAAGGTTCCCCTAGCACATATGTGCTAGTCATTCCCAACTCCAGGGGTGTGTGCTCATCTCTGTTTAAAAGCCAAAGAGCTAGCACTGTCCGAAGACATCTCCATGGTCTTGTGGCTAACATGACTAAATGCCAAAGGCGCATGGAACACTGTTACCTTCCCATCAAAGGTGGTCCTTGTTTTTCTACTTGCATTTTTACATGCTTTCAAACTGCTAGGTTGGCAAAAGCTGGGTCAAGAAACGGGAACTCACTCCATTATGCGGTGCTAGGGATTCGAAACACCGAACTGCTGACTTTTCTAAACGACAAGCTCAGCGTATTAGCCACTGAGCCACCACGTCCCTTAAACATTTGCTTAGAGGTATATTAATTGCCTCCTGTAATTGTTAGAGGTATCACATTATTCCAGGTGTTTTGTAATGCAGAACTAAAGATCTTCGCCCCAGGTAGTCCTTGACTTACAACCATTCATTTACTGACAGACCATTTTTCACATTTATGACCATTGCAGCATCTCCGTGGTCTTGTGATCAAAATTCAGACTCTTGGCAACTGGCATGTATTTGTGACAGTTGCAGTGTTCCAAGATCACTTGATCACCTTTTGTAATCTTCTCACAAGGAAAGCCAATGGGGGAACCAGATCCACTTAACAACTGTGTTACTACATTAATAACTGCAGTGATTCACCTAACAACTGTGACAAGGAAGGTCATAAAATGGGGCAGAAGTCACTTAACAACTATCTCGCTTAGCAACAAAAATTTTGAGCTCAATTGTGGTCATAAAATGAGGACTAGCTGTATTCTGAAAATGAGAGAGAAGGCTAAAAGATCTTCCACAATATTCTTTATATTTTTCAATTACTTAAAAATGAGATTGGAGAATGCCATACATCTTTCAATACTGACCCCTAGCTGTCAAGAGAAGAACTAAGAACTAGAACTACGGAGAAATTTTCTGGAAGTTCTGGGTACTCTGTCACAAGTTTTCCAGACGAGACTGGACAGCCATTTGTCTGAAATTGTATAGGGCCATGATGGCAAACCTATGGCATAGGTCTTACCTATTTTATCTCTCTCTCTCTCTCTCTCTCTCTCTCTCTCTCTGTGTGTGTGTGTGTGTGTGTGTGTGTTTCATTTGGCATACAAAGGCAACATAAAAAAATGGCTTTCTGCCTGGATGGCTCTTAGGGTGAATCGAAGGACAGAAAATGGAAGCAGTATGCTCCCTCCCATATTTTGGCATACCAGGGGTTATGACATAATACATACACAC